AACAACAACAACAACAACAACAACAACAACAACAACAACAACAACAACAACAACAACAACAACAACAACAACAACAACAACAACAACAACAACAACAACAACAACAACAACAACAACAACAACAACAACAACAACAACAACAACAACAACAACAACAACAACAACAACAACAACAACAACAACAACAACAACAACAACAACAACAACAACAACAACAACAACAACAACAACAACAACAACAACAACAACAACAACAACAACAACAACAACAACAACAACAACAACAACAACAACAACAACAACAACAACAACAACAACAACAACAACAACAACAACAACAACAACAACAACAACAACAACAACAACAACAACAACAACAACAACAACAACAACAACAACAACAACAACAACAACAACAACAACAACAACAACAACAACAACAACAACAACAACAACAACAACAACAACAACAACAACAACAACAACAACAACAACAACAACAACAACAACAACAACAACAACAACAACAACAACAACAACAACAACAACAACAACAACAACAACAACAACAACAACAACAACAACAACAACAACAACAACAACAACAACAACAACAACAACAACAACAACAACAACAACAACAACAACAACAACAACAACAACAACAACAACAACAACAACAACAACAACAACAACAACAACAACAACAACAACAACAACAACAACAACAACAACAACAACAACAACAACAACAACAACAACAACAACAACAACAACAACAACAACAACAACAACAACAACAACAACAACAACAACAACAACAACAACAACAACAACAACAACAACAACAACAACAACAACAACAACAACAACAACAACAACAACAACAACAACAACAACAATACCAACAATCAAAGCAATGGAATAAGAACGTCGACACTTATTAACTCCACACATGCACATACGGCATTACCTCTGGACAAAGAGCTTTTGGCTGCTGCACGTATACAATTTTCTCGTCCACCAAGCACAGACAATGGACTAAAATTCATTAACTTTGAAAAAGGGGAAACTATTCACCCTTATCGCGCCGAAAGACCAACCGGACATGAACACCCTCCAATCCTGGACACAATGCGTCCGCCTATAGTCAGACTCACGGAACAGTCTGCAATCGGCGACCGACGCTTTTTGAAGGCACGGCTGCGGGACCCCAAAATTATGGACATTGTGCGGACTTATCTTTCATACTTGCACTACCAGCCACCTTCAGTATGCATTCGCGGAATCACTAAAACTAGTGCAACTTTAATGCTCGCAGCAGAAGGACTACCAACGGAAACAGCCCTTTTACGCGAAATTTTCCTGGACGTTCACGAAGAACTCAGAATGCCACGCACCGACACTTTGGCAGACCTGAATTCACACCGCGCGTTCCTACTTAGTGAACGCACACAACGACTGCAGCAAACTAGGGAGGCCGCTCGCAAATTTTACAATCCTCCAAATTTTCAACGGCACTGACGCACTCTACTAAAGGAAGTAACGACGACTATTCCCATGCAAGGGAATTATTATTATCGAATGACGACACTCTACATGAGGTAGACCCTGCTAATGTAAGTAATACTGACCCTCCAAAAATCTCTTCACTTCCTCAACAGAATGCGACTGGAATTTTGGTGTATTGCCAAAATTTCAATCGCATGAAAAGCCCAGCTAAAATGAAAGAAATCCACCAGAACATTCTATCTTCTTTTTTTCAAATAATTCTTGGAACTGAAACAAGCTGGGACGAAAGCGTCAGAAGCGAAGAAATTTTTGGAAACAATTTTAATGCATTCCGGCACGACAGGAATTTTCAACTCTGTAATAAAAAGTCTGGTGGTGGAGTGCTCATTGCCATCAATGCTGACTTTACTTCTGAAGAAATCATAACAAATAAGAACAAGAAATTTGAAAATGTCCGGGTCAAAGCACTTATTGCCGGTGAAATACACATTTTTTCTTCTGTGTATTTTCCACCTAAACATGTCCACAAGCAGTCTTTTGAACTATTTTTTCCAATTGTTGAAACTATAATGTCAAATATGGAACCAGAAGTAAAACTGCATATTTATGGCGACTTCAATCAACGAAACGCAGACTTTATTACAGACATTGAAAATGAATCATTTTTACCCCCGGTGAAGACGAAACATTACAATTATTATTCGACAAAATATCTTATTTTGGTCTTAATCAAATAAACCATGTAAAAATCAACAAAATTCATATTTAGACCTTTTATTTACAAATTGTACTGAAGACTTCTGTGTGGATACATCATTAGCACCTTTATGGAAAAATGAAGTGTTTCACACAGCAATTGAATACTCAATCTTCGTACAAATTTTTTCTTCCTCCAGCGACTGGGAATACGGGGAAGTGCCGGAATACCATAAAGCAAATTACGAAGAAGCCAAACGTAGACTATGTACAATAAATTGGCAAAATTTGATAAGTATTGAAGGAAATGTCGATACTGAAGTAGAAAAATTTCACTCAATTCTTCAAAGCCTAATTTTAGAAACTGTACCATCAAAAAAAAAGAAGACGAACACAAAACAATAAACTACCCGCATGGTTCAATCCACAACTGAAATATTTAAAGAATAAAAAACAGAAAGCTCATAAACTATACAAAAAAGAAAAAACTGAAACCAATTTGCGAAACTATCACAACTTATGTAACAAATTAAGTACAGCCATCAACTCTGCCTATGAAGACTATAACCGCAAAGTCGAAAATGAAGTCAAATCATGTCCTAAGAACTTTTTTAATTATGTAAACACGAAATTAAAAAGCATCAATTTTCCTTCGCGAATGAATTTGGATGCAAATGTAGGTGAGAATTCTTCTGAAATTTGCAATCTCTTTGCAAATTTCTTCCAAGAAGTATACACCACATTTTCCGAAAAAGATCGTGACCGCGATTTCTTTGCATTCATTCCTGAAATTTCTAAAAACATCTCTGTCAACCAACTTTCTCAACATGAAGTCCTCAATGCACTTAAAAACTTAAACGCGTCGAAAGGGTCTGGACCTGACGGCATCGCACCCATATTTTTGAAAAACCTTTCTGAAGAACTCGCATTTCCTCTAGAGCGTCTTTTCAACATGTCTCTGAAAAATGGAAAATTCCCTGAAATTTGGAAATAATCTTATTTGGTACCTATTTTCAAATCAGGTGCAAAATCAGACATTCGAAATTATCGTGAAATTGCTATTATTTCTTGCATTCCGAAACTTTTTGAATCAATCGTAAACGGCAATATTTTTCAGCAGGTGAAAAATCTAATTACAAGTAAACAGCACGGCTTTTTTAAAGGTCGCTCAACTACCTCTAATCTTCTAGAATATGTATCTTTCATTATTAAAGCGTTGGACAGTGGCAAGCACGTTGAAGCGCTATACACCGACTTCAGTAAAGCATTTGACCGCATCGACATACCATTATTAATCCTCAAATTGCAGAAAATAGGAATGGAGCCTGGACTTTTGAATTGGCTTCAATCATACCTAACACATCGTAAACAAATAGTTCGCTTTCAAAATAAACTTTCAGAACCAATTTCAGTCACCTCTGGGGTACCCCAGGGTTCTCATTTAGGCCCACTGTTTCTTCTTCGATCTAGTCACTGGTAAAATAGCACTGGTTTGAGGGGAACACAACTGATCAGAAGCACATTGTATTTTGAACTGATTTTATCGTTACTGATCGCCAGTATCATGCCTATCGGTTGCTCTTTAGACTAATTTCGATCTGCTGGATGCTGCGAGAGTGAGAGTGAGTTCCTTCTCGCAATCATCAGTGAAGCTGATGATTGTCGTAGAGTGGGTTTGATATAATTAAGAATGATTTAAATTAAAGAAATAATTTACATAACCGGCCGCCTTGAAATATGCGGAATTTCAATTTGACTATCTAAATTATTCAATATTAACTTGATTTTAACTATCTACTACGAATCATTAATATACATTTAGAAACACAATGATTATCACAAGTGTACATAAAAACGGGGCTGGTGCTCTTAATATAATCGGTGATATGGTGTGTACGGAACACTTCTGCAGGCGGTACCGATGGTGTCCAACCACTCGGTGTTGATTGAAGTCGTCAATCGATTAGCATCTGACTCGTACCGGCTGGCTTCATACCGACATCGTCTCGTAGATCGTTTGTAGCGGAACTCTAACGCGGATTCTCCTTCGGCTGCGCACTCCGTCAGAGCGCCGTGATTGAGGTGAGCGACAGAAAAAGATGAAGGGCGATTTTTTACAAGTCAAAATCAAGATTTAAACGACTTCCCTATCGCGGAGGCTTGCGCGCCTCCGCGAGCGCTCCTGCGCTGATGATGATGAATTCACCAGGTTGAATGTGTCCGATTGGATAGTTGCAAGTTCCTTGGAGCTAACTGTTGTAGTGATTCTTAACTCGAATGCTGGGTGAACTTCATGGATGGTAGATTGTGGTGGCTGGTCTTTACTGGATGCTCGTGCAGTGGCTCTTACCCTGGATTGCTGCAGGTGGCTTGCTGTACCGTTGATGATGAACGTACACAGGCACGAAATCGTGCCGGATTCCATGATTTGGCCACAATCAAGGAATCGAACCGGGTATTGGAATTCAGCAAGTGCATCTGAGTAATCGAGGTGAGCGGTTGAAGTTGCCTAGCAAGACGCAGATTTCGTGGATGATTTCGCAGGAAAGCCAGTGGCCTTCGGCGATCAGCGGCTATGAAGACAAAACATTCCATAAGATTTTTGAAATTTTGTTAAACATAAACACTTAACTGGTATGCGGAAGCCGGATGGCTCCCGCAGGCACTCCAGCGCCTTTGATGAGGGAAGGTCTAGCTCTCCCCAAGTGTTGGTGGTGGGTCGTTATCGCTGATGGGCAATATGCAGATTTTGGAGATGGCCCGAACGAAACTTCCATCCTTCGTATTAATGGTTACGACCCTGATGTTTCCGTCTGCTCCCGGATATGCGTTACCCTTCCCAAAAGCCACTTCAGGGGTGGTAGATTATCCTCCTTGATAAGAACCATTGTCCCTACAAACAGGTTATTCCTGTGCCTGGTCCACTTAGTCCTGTTGTGCAGGTCAGACAAATATTGCATCGACCATCTGGACCAAATGCGTTGAACGAAGTCTTGAGCCTGCTGCCACCTAGAGAGACGATCTTGAGGAATATCCTGCAGCCACGGTTCTGCGACAGCCGTTAGCGGTCGCTGGATAAGAAAGTGACCTGGAGTCAACACGCTGAGATCGTTTGGGTCACTGCTGATCTGTGTGAGTGGCCTGGAGTTCAGACATGCTTCGATTTGTGCTAGGACAGTGTGTAGTTCATCAGGCGTAACAATCTTCAATCCAATGGTCCTCCTCAGGTGCTGCTTCATTGATTTGACTGCAGCCTCCCACAAGCCGCCAAAGTTAGGGGATTTGGCTGGAATGAACTTAAATTCAATTCCGATGTCAGCAGCGCGTGCAGCTATGGATTGCTGGGATTGTTGGTCTTCAAATAGTACGGCGAGCTCATTTAACTCCCGTTTTGCACCCACGAAATTGGAACCGTTATCGCACATGATCAAGGTGGGCTTTCCTCGCCTAGCTACGAACCTTTTCAATGCAGCCAAAAATCCTTGAGTGGTGAGATCGGCTACCATTTCCATGTGTACCGCCTTAGTCACCAAGCAAATGAAGATAGCAGCGTAGTACTTGACGGTGGTCCTTTTCCGGAAGGGATAGTTTATCAAAAAAGGACCGCAATAGTCTACACCGACCCGTAGAAATGGCGGAGCTGGTGTTACCCGTTCAGCCGGGAGATCAGCCATCAGTTGATCCTGCACGGTTGGTTTGTTCCTAAAGCAGGTTACACATCTATGCACAATCTTCCGAGCAAGACTTCGAGCATTGAGTGGCCAAAACCGTTCACGAACACTTGCTATCAACAGTTGCGGACCAGCGTGAAGATTTTCGTAGTGGTATCGACGCATGATCATGGATGTTAGCGGATGATCTTTATCCAATAACATAGGATGCTTCCGGCTATGCGAGATTTGTGCATTCTCCAACCGGCCGCCAACTCGGAGTACACCTTCGACCAGTATCGGATTTAATGCATTGATGCGAGAAGTTGGCTTAACCTCCCCATTCCTTTCGAGATCTGCGATTTCCTGAGCAAAGCATTCCTGTTGTGATAGCTTCACTAGACGCAACAAAGCGCCTTCTCGTTCCGCAAGCGTCAGTGGACCCGTCTTCTTGGATATTGATCTACGAGCCTGCAGTGCGTTGTACTTGAATCTGAGCAACCATGCAACCAGCTTTTCCACATGATGCAATGTAGAGTGTATCCCAAAGATCTCGCTCGGTGGAGTAATTGTAGAAACTGCTGCCACAATGGATCCTTCCTCGAGAGCCGTCCGATCCAGTTTATCCAGTACAACTTCTTGCGTTTTAGGCCACATCTGTTTATCTTTCCTCAACCAATCTGGTCCATGCCACCATAACGCGTTAGCCTGTAAATCAACAGGTGAAATGCCGCGAGATAGCGCATCTGCGGGATTCTCTGTTTCTGCCACATGCCTCCATGTTCCACTCCTGGTGAGGTGTTGTACCTCCGATATTCTGTTTGCCACGAACATCTGGTAACGTGATGGGGTTGATGACAGCCAGTACCTTACGATCGTGGAATCGGTGTGAAAGTACGGCTGGGTCGATACTTGGATGCTTGCAGATGTCTTTTCGTACAGGTGAGCCAGCAATACAGCAGAAGATAACTCCAAGCGGGGCGTCGTAAGTTTTTTCCTCTTCTTTTCAGATTCTGCCAGCGGAGCTACTCTGGATTTAGCAACCAGCAAATTCGAAGTGATTGTTCCGTCGAAGTGTGTGCATCGGACATACAAACATGCTCCATAGGCCTTCATTGATCCGTCACAAAAGCCGTGGAGCTCAACGGCAAGACAATCCTTGCGAAAAGCGATCCATCTAGGAATCTGGAGGGTTTCTAGGTTTGATAAGCTGTCCCGAAACTCTGTCCATTGAGCTCCGAGTTCATCTTGTAGTGGTTCGTCCCACGAGAATTTCTGTTTCCAGAGAGTCTGGACGAATATTTTGGCAGTGATGATTACAACTCCAATAAGCCCAAGAGGGTCGAAAATCCGCGCAAGATCGGAAATAACGGAACGCTTGCATATTTCCGGCGAACTCCATTGCGGCACCTTGAATCGAAAAACGTCTAGCCTAGGTTCCCAGATCAGCCCTAGTGTTTTTATGGTAGCGCTTGAATCGTCCAGCTCGAAAGAAGTGCGGTCATCCCTGAGTTCCTCGGGTATTTTTTCCAAGACAGCTGGACAGTTACTGCTCCATTTCCGTAGGTTGAATCCTCCACCTTTCAACAGATGTTGAATGTCACTGCACAGCTTGATTCCTTCTTGTACGTCGTCAACGCCGGACATCATGTCGTCAACGTAGAAATCCTTGCTGAGGATTATAGCTGCTTTGGGATATTTGTGTCCATCAAGCTCTGCTAGCCGCTTAAGACATTTGGTGGCCAAATATGGCGCTGATGCTGTTCCGTATGTAACGGTATTTAACTGGAAGACACGGATCATTTCATTCTGGTTGTCCCGCCAGAAGATTTTGTGCAACTTCCGGTCTGCCCACTGTTGCAGCACCATACGGTACATTTTTTCAGCATCTGCAACGATGGCGATCCAATGGAACCTGAATCGAAGGACGATCGCGATGATATCATCTTGAACAGTCGGACCAACCATCAACGCATTGTTGAGAGAGATTCCGGACGATGTAGGGCATGACGCATCAAACACTACCCGCAACTTGGTAGTTGTGCTGTCGGGCTTGATAACACAGTGATGTGGAATGAAGTACTGTGGCATAGCAGCGTCCTCTTCGTTTTCCAGCACCTCCTCCATATGTCCCATACGCAGATATTCGTGAATGAAGTCACTGTACATCTGCTTCAATTCGGCATTACCATCCAGACGACGCTCGAGAGAAAGAAAGCGTTTCAATGCCGTGGACTTTGAATCTCCGAGTTGCTGAATGAGGTAATTCTTCTTTGGAACCGCTACAATGAACCTTCCAGATGCTTCTCGGACTGTAGTACGGTCGAACAGCTTCTCGCAGGCATATTCCTCTAACGATAGTACGCTGTCCGTTTTACACGACTCCAATTCCCAGAAACGAGTGAGTAACTCGTCCAAGTTCTCCGTACACGTGTTGGCAACGTGTGGTCTGAGCACGTTCGACTCGTCAGGAAGATTTCCACAAACTATCCAGCCAAGGGAAGTGTTTTGTACAATAGGTCCATTATCCCCGAGCTTGATTTTCTCGTTGCGCAGCAGGTCAAAGAAAAGTCCTGCTCCAATAATCACATCAACGCTGCTAGGCTCGGTGAAAAGTGGATCGGCGAGTACGATATCCTCCGGAAGATCCAACCTTGATGAATCAATCTTGCGAATGGGCAAATTCAACGTATCTTGTGGAAGTACGTAGAATACTTCCTCCCCAGCGAAGGAAGTGATACGAGAGCGAACCCGAGCGAAGATGGATTGCTTGCACTTTTTTGCAGCTTGACCAATACCACTGATAGAAAGTGCTTCGCGTGACCGTTTGAACTTCAAACGTTGTGACGTGTGTTCCGAAATGAAGCAAAGCTGAGAGCCACTGTCTAGTAATGCTCTAGCTTGCATAGTATTCCCAAATTGATCTTCAAGGATCACGATTGCGGTTGCGAGTATGACCGATCGTGGTGCCTTGGGTTCATTAGCAGAGAGTACCACATTGTGGCTAGTAGGAATGTCTGTGGTACGTGGTGTCTAACTTTGCGAATTTGGAATAGCTGGTGTGGAGATTGTGGATGGGAGGTTGGGTTGCTGAGGAGTGTTAGGAGCATGATTATTAGCTTGTGAGGTTGTGGGTGTCTGAATCAATTGTGGGATCAGTGGGCCCTGTTGACAACGCTTGTTTGACTGTGGAACTGACTGATTATTAGACCATTCATTCGTCTTGAAGTGCAACATAGAGCGATGTCGCTGTCCACAAATACGACAAGTTCCCCGTGTGCAGACCTTGGCAGCATGTCCTCGAGACAAGCAATTGTAGCAAAGTTGATTCGATCTTACAGCATTTCTCCTTTCGTCAACCTTCATTGACTTGAACCGTTTACACTGAAACACCATGTGTTGTCCTTCACCACACAATAGACATGATGACTGCATTCCGGCGTAACTGCTGCTTACCCGAGGTGCTTTCCTCTGTTCTGGTGGGTTAGGATTTTCTCCGGCGATTGACCGCAGAACCGTACGATGATTTCTCAGGAATTCCATCAAGTTCTCAAACCGTGGAACTTCCTTTGAACGATGCTCCGTTTCCCACAAACGAAGCGTTGTGGCATCCAACTTGCTTGAAAGCATATGGACCAACATTGTGCTCCAATCAGCTGTGTGTTCTCCTAATTTATCCAACATTTGCAAGGTTTTATCATATTCGTTGATCACATGGTTAAGTGACTCAAACGTCTCCTTCTTCATGGGCTGTACTGCGAACAATGCATCCAAATGCGACTTTACCAAGAGCTTCTTGTTCGCATAGCGTAATTCCAGCGAGCTCCACGCTATCGAGAAATTGTCCGCAGTAAGATCGATTGATGCAATCTGTTGCAAGGCTTCACCTGCTAATGACGATCGTAGGTATGTAAACCTATCAATGTCCGAAAGATGTGGGTTTTCCATGATCAGATTTTGAAAAGAATCTCGAAATGTGACCCATTCCATCAATGCACCACGGAAAACAGGAAGCTTCAATTCAGGTAACTTCACACGAATTGTACCAACTGGGGCTTGCTGCATCGTTGGAGCTGTACCTACACTCGCACTAGACCCCGGTGGCGACATAAAGGCTTGCAGTGATTGCTTCAGGTTGAAATACTGGTTCACGAAATCCTTCATTATCTTCCTGTTCTTCTCATCATTCTTCTTCTGCAAGGCGATCCGTTTGCTACGGGCATCTTCACTTTCATCAGTGTGATCTTCTTCATCGTCTTCTTCCAACAAACAGTTCAATGTTTATTCACACTTCACTAAAACTATCGTACACTTCGTCAAGTTTCTTCATCCGTGCCTCCACTGAACCTTTGTCACGAGCTTCGTCATAATTCTGCACAAATTCTATAATCGAATCCACTACATATCGTAACATACGTTCCTTCTTCGCCCACTTTCGTAGATCGCTGCTAGCCATTCTTCTCACAGTATTATCTCTGCACTGCACTTATTTCACAGTTCCACAGCTTGGACCGAAGCTCGTAATGATCGGAATTACGATTGACAGAGACCCACAGATAGATAGACAAATGAAATAATATCGATCGAACGGATTGGCCAATCAACCTCAAAGCGGACTCAACTCAGCAGACGAATCAACCACGTATTCCAATAGAAAAAAAAACGCAAAGCATGCAATCTATCGTTTATTGTTTCATCGGTTTTGCCACATGGAATTATATTCAATTTCAGAACGGTTGACGACTGATCATGCATTCAGACGCCACCACAGACAAACCTTTCGGGAATACTCATCTGAATTCTTCTGCTAGCTGGGTCTTCTTTAGGAGTTCATGCAATTAGCTGATATCATGCAAATCAGCTCTCCGTCGATTCCAATCGGTGGATGAAATTCTGCAACTGGAACAATGTCGCACTCGAAGAATGGGAACAATAATGCCGGTGAATACTGGATCTAGCACCGTCGCACAATAGCACATGCAGAATACCGTACAATAGGTTGAGCCAATGGCAATGGCGATCGCGTTGGACACCAATGGCCGAAAATAGCGGATTTCACCACTGTTACACTGCCTTGATTTTTCGTCGGTTTAACCTAACATCCGGTTCGAAGGACCAAATTTATGTTTCTTCTTCGATCTAGTCACTGGTAAAATAGCACTGGTTTGAGGGGAACACAACTGATCAGAAGCACATTGTATTTTGAACTGATTTTATCGTTACTGATCGCCAGTATCATGCCTATCGGTTGCTCTTTAGACTAATTTCGATCTGCTGGATGCTGCGAGAGTGAGAGTGAGTTCCTTCTCGCAATCATCAGTGAAGCTGATGATTGTCGTAGAGTGGGTTTGATATAATTAAGAATGATTTAAATTAAAGAAATAATTTACACCCACTTCTTTTTATTTTGTACATAAACGACATTTCCTACATACTTAAAAAAATAAAATTGCTTGTATATGCAGACGACATGAAGCTCTTTATGGAAATAAGTAATTCTAGCGATGCAGAAGAATTCCAGAATGAAATCAATATATTCCACACCTGATGTAGTAAAAGTCTAATTCAACTGAACGTAAAAAAATGTACTGCAATAGCATTTAGCAGAAAAATTGAAACACCGCATATTGAAATATCATTAGGCAACCAAATAGTAGAAAAAAGCAAAATTGTAAGAGATCTAGGTGTAATCCTAGACTCCAAACTAACTTTTATAGAACATTATAATACTATCATTAGTAAAGCAAACAGAATGCTAGGCTTCATCAAAAGGTTCAGTCATAATTTCGAAGACCCATACACTATTAAGCTTTTATATACCACATATGTAAGGCCAATTCTGGAATACTGCCACCTAGTATGGAATCCATACATTTCCATACACGAAGAACGCATAGAATCTGTCCAAAAACAATTCCTTTTATATGCTTTACGTAAATTGAATTGGACTGCATTTCCATTACCATCTTATGAAGCGCGCTGCATGCTCATCAATATACAAACACTTAAGGAGCGCCGCCAATTTGCAATGCTTTTCTTCATCAACGACATTATTTCAATGCGCATAGATTCGGCAGAAATTCTCGCACAATTAAATTTTTACACACCTTGTCGATATCTTAGAACAAGGAATTTTTTTTCAGAAACATCGTACAGAACAAACTATGCAAAAAATAGCCCAATCAATCGAATGATGCGCCTATATAATTTGCATTGCGGAACTATTGACATCACTATGTCCAAGCAGCAAATACAAACTAAGCTAAAACAGAATAGAATTAATGCATAGTATGTAAGTAAACATTGTAATAATCATTGTATGTAGTCTACACTGGCTTGACGAAATGGAATTAAATATCTCAAGCTTACTCGTCTTTGTATGGAGGAAAATGATTTCATTTTCAGAGGAAATATTTATAAAAAAAAAAACAAAACTAAAGGTGCTGTTATGGGTAATTCGCTTTCTCCATTTTTGTGTGAATTGCTCATGGCTAACATAGAAAATACTCTGGAGGATAGGAATTTGTTGCTCAAGTGTTGGTTCCAAGCTGGCATGGAAAATCATTTGCATTCATTTCATGCATTCATTTACATTAATTTGCCTCTAACTTTTTTCATCAACAGCATTCCGCAAAATAATGTATGGAGCTTTTGTAGGTTTTGTTATTAACTACAACTTTTGGAAACAATTTAAATCCGTATATCTTATGCATGACGCAGCAGAGCGAACAGAAGCCACTACTGTTTTTCCATGAATGTATTTTACATTAACTGAAAAACAGTAACAAGTTCTGCCCGCTCTAGTTCATGATGCATAAGAGAAACAAGTTTGAATTATGAGCAAAACTTGCAGTTAATAACAAAACCTACAAAAGCTCCATACATCATTTTGCGGAATGATGTTGATGAAAAAAGTTAGAGGCAAATGAATGTAAATGAATGTATGAAATGAATGCAAATGATTTTCCTTGCCTGGGTATAGGTACGTGGATGACATTTTTAGCATTGTCAAAAGGGAAGATTTATCAAAAACAAAATTTGAGGTCATAAGCAACGTTCACAAGGACATCAAATTTACTCACAAAGAAGAGAGAGAGACAGCAAACTCCCCTTCTTAGACCTTCTCATCATCAGGGAAACGTCTTCGTTCAATTTCGAGATCTATTGGAAACCAAAATACAAAGAGAGTAATACCAACCACTTCAAACCATTCCCATTAACACAAAATCGCCGCTTTTCCCCACATGGTTCACAGGATGCAAACTTTTCCTCTTGACGATACAGGCAAATCAAAGGAAATGGCTCACATTTTTAAAATCGCTAGACTTAATGGGTATCAAGAAAAAATATTTCAAGCAGTAATCGATAAAAGAACAGAGGGATCATTTTAGGCGTACTTCGACAACTCTTACGCCTGTAGCTGAGGGTTTAAAACGGTAGAGATGAATTTCAACAAACACATTACCAATCCATTGATCTCGAAGTTTAGCAGGTTTGGCCTAGATGTAGTATTCAGCAGCAGGACAAATCAGTTGAAGTCACTGTTAGGATCAACAAAAGATTCAATAAATGTCTCAAGGAAAGCCGGAGTCTACACAATCTTTTGTCCAGATTGCAAAGAAATCTATATTGGTCAGACGAAAAGGACTTTGCAAACAAGGTTTGAGAAGCAGGTCGCAGAGGTACAAAGAGATGGATAAAGGACTTCATTATGAATTTAAATCCATGGGGCACAATTTGACAAAGGATAACATTAATATCCTGCGGAGTGTATCTTCGTCTTGGAAACTAGACGTAGCAGAAAGTTTAGAAATATTTAAACATAATCCATCAAAATTTCTTAATAGAGATCAAGGAAACGGATACTCGAGACTCTTTAGCATGCTACCTAAAAATACACATCGTAACATGCATCTACCTGTTGGAGCCAGGTATCTGGTTAGGTAAATTGTGTTTTGCTGATTTTTAGTATCTATTGATTAGTATATAACTCGTAGATGAACGATGGATTCTTCAGTGGTGTTGAGTACTTGGCACTGATGATGTCTGCAAGTAGTAGACGAAATACGCGTATCTGTCGGTTATGGATACCAACATTAATTAAATGTAAGATAACCCTTTTTTGTTATTTTATTCAAATAACCAGTGCAGTAAGCCCTGTAAAAAAAAATGCACCAGACAAAAGTGTTCGCCAAAAATTTATTTTAAGTCGGATTTTCTTGAAACTTTCAGGGAATGAACTAATACATATGGATTATGTTTCGGCATAATTATTTTATTGAATTTCCTTTCCATCGCTGAAAGCCTGAACCTTTCCCTTAAGACCCCTCATTACATTTTGTGCAATGGTGGAGCTGACCTTTTTGGTCAATTTCATCCATTCTTTCTTCAACTCCAGCTCGTTCTTAAACACTTTGGACAATTTTTGAACTCTGGCCTTCATTATGGCCCAAAATCTTTCCACCGGACGAATCTCTGGTGAATTTGGGGGGTTGACGGTTTTTGTTACAAAAACAACGTTATTGTCTCTGTACCAATCAAACGTCGATCGCGCGTAATGGCATGATGCCAGGTCCAGCCAAAATAATGTCTCGCCTCCGTGGGACCGCAGGAAGTGCAACAGACGCTTCTGGAGACACTCGGCGCGGAAAATTTCGCTGTTGATGGTACCCATTGTGATGTACGGTTTACTCAGTTTACCGCATTGGCATATGGCCTGCCAGAGCAAGTATTTTTCGGCGAATTTGTCCACTTTCTTCTTCCTTATGTCTTCCGGAACATCAAACCGTGATTTGGCAACGTAGAACTCCACTCCCGGTATCTGCTTTGCGTCTGCCTTGATGTAGGTTTCGTCATCCATAACCACAAACATCGGTTTCGTTAACCACTTTCGATACAGCTTCCTTGTGCGGGATTTGGCCACCGTGTTTTGTTGATCACGCCGGTTCGGTGCCTTCCGGACCTTGAATACACGAAGCCCAGCTCGTTTCATGGTTTGCTGAACGAACCAGGCGAAACACTTTGCCTTCAGAGCCACGTCGCGAATCGAAAGGTTCGGATTACGCTTGAAATAATCCAACACTTTCCGAGGCTTCACAGGGTCAGCTGTCTTCGATTTTCTTCCACTTCCAGCCCACCGCTCGGTCGTCTGGGACTCCTTAAATGATTTTACCACCCGAGACACAGTTGTATGGGTGATTACCAGTTGTCTTCCGATCCATCTCATGGTCGCAGTCGAATTGTCCATGACTGCGCGCAAAAATCTCCGGCGATTTTCTTCTTGTTTCGATGACATCTCAATAACCACTGAACCGATTGTTATGAAATTTTGCACATGTAAACAATTCACTCCAAACTAGTTATACCCAGATTTTCATCAATTCTTACCCACGGATAAAAAAAGTTACACACGGATAAAAATGGTGCATTTTTCTCGAGTACAAACCTTAGTGCTGCTTGATGAGAGAATATTAAACTGAATTGTTTCTCATTCAATCGGTATTATTAATCTGAAAAACTGTTTTAAAATAGAAACTGTGCCAAAATGATTCTAAAATTTAGAAAAGTCGATATGGGGGGAAATTGATCAAGCCCTTAAATAACTTTACAGTGCATTTATAGCAAATGTGCTTGAATTTTCACGCGAAATTTTTTATTCGGAATAATTGATGAAGTCGTCATAATTATCAATGCAGCCCATCAATGCTTGTTTGAATGCTGATATTGTATACTTTTGAACATCTGCTAAATAAAATTGAAATTACGAGGTAGACAACCTAATGTTCCAGTTCGGGATATTTTGGCTAGACGCGATCTGGAGTTTATGAAACTCATATATGTTTACTTTAAGGATATTAACCTTAGATTGTAAGTTTGATTAACCTTGTGTTTAGTTTGTATTTTGTACGTGTGGGTTTTTTTTTTCAATGTTTGTTTTCAAGATGAAAAGAAATAATTTCATGCTTTAGGAATAATTAAATAGTTGTATCATAAACCACATTTCAAACCTCCTTCTTCCCTTTTCCCATCCAAAAAATTGTAAATCTCCACTAACCTCGAGACAACCGCGAGTACTCGGTCCAGTTCCTTTAACTTTAAATTTAAGACAGTAATAATGTATAACGCAAAGGATAACTCGGCTCTGTAAAGTTTATTCGATTGAGCCTGTACAAATAAAGCAATTATAAAAAAAAAAATTGAAATTGATGTAACATAATAAACTTGTTTTTTACGGAAAACTCATCAAAACAGTTACATACTGGGGTCCCTTGATGAAATACATCAGGTGATATATATCACCTAAAATTGTCTACGAGTCAGTGAAATACGCAAGGCATTATGATCAATTTCACCCTGGTGATCAATTTACCCCTGGATTTCGGTACTTAAAATGTTTTCATAATATAATAAATATTTCCTCAACATTTCAAATGTCTTCTTTTCTGGCATCCTTGCTCACTCGTCTAAATAAAACACATCTGGCGTCACGAATAATGTCTGGTACACGCTAACTTGAAAGTACCCATTAATGGTTGAAAAAGACCCATTTTGAAGAAAAGTGGCTTAACTCATTAAATGAGTAAATTTTTAACCCATTAATGAGTATCTGTTACCCATTAATGAGTAATTGTTAATCATTAATGGGTAACAGATACTCATTAATGGGTAAAATTGTTTAATCATTAATGAGTTAAGCCACTTTTCTTCAAAATGGGTCTTTTTTTACTCATTAATGAGTACTTTCAAGTTAGCGTGTAGGAAGAAGTTGTTCTCTCATTTATTTTTAAATACGCCAAGTATGTATGAATAGTGGTGGAATGAAAAAGACGGCTAGTTTTACAATACCCAGGCCTGCTAGTCTTTCCCTCGGTTCACAATATGCCACAGCTCAGCGGGTACATTCTTCAAAGCAGTTTTCATGATATTCTTTTTACTATCTCAAATGTCTTTCTATGTTTTATTTCATTTGCATAATTTAACAGAAGCAAAAAAAAAAATATCAATGAACAAGTTTGCCATTAATACGGCTCATTTGACTAATAACTATACAAAGTTTAGAAATTGTATCCATAGAAAATAAATAACGACAGGCTGCTGAATTGGTACAACTCAGATGTAAACAAACAAACTTTTAGACGAGTTCTTCAAATCTGATACACTTATATTTGAAATAAAAAAAACATTAAAATGTGTTCCCTTTTAGAAAACGTTGAAAATTTCCTAGGTGCTCGCTTTCACTAGATCATTTGTTCGATGTTCCACTCCTGTGAGAATATGCTATTAGTTTGTTATAGCTCACAACTCACTCATAACATAATCAGATATTGATAGTAAAATTTGATATTATTTTGCTCTGGCTTTGCTGTTCCCCTCTATCCAGGAAACCACTCTTACCTCATCGGTACCAACCAGAATGTCGAAAATCTCCCAATCCTTCTCACTGTTTCCAGACTCTTCATCTCCCGTTTTCCGTTTCGGCATGATCGTTGATGTGCTCTCACTGATATCACTCATAATAACCTCTGGATAATTGGCCAAACCAACTTGTCAGCTTTCAACAACACTACCCATAGTAATCCTCACTAGCGTAGCTCGTCTCCAGATGGTTTAATCCTATCACAAAACGTCACATTCACGGCCAGGAATAATACTGATAGATCGATTGCCAGGCTTTCCGAGGACACCGAGCGTTCGCGTTCGCGTTTTTGCACCCCAAGGACGACGAACCGCTACTGAAAAAAGTTCACAACCACCAACGGAAAATTGCACCCTTTTGATTACCACGTTTGGTTGAGTAACTTTCTTCCACTACCCGGGACGACGCCATAATCAACAATCTCCAGTTAATTCATTAATGTGAACCTCCCAAACCGGGAACGATATACATATGAACCTGCCTACCTACCTTATGAGGTGATTCGATGACTTCACCGGCAGCAGCGATGGATTCCGCATGTAGGTTGGAGGGAAAACTTTCGATGTTTGAGCATAATTGACGGAGTTGGGCTCGTACCGAACAAGCGCCATGGACTTGTTTATTATGGCAAGGGGGTTTCCAGGGGAATACTTTGCATATCATATTTTTTTGCTCCATGCTCTGAACTATTAGCGACTAGATTCGGGATTTATAAAATATCGATTCTTGCCAACAGCAGCGTACGAGCGGTGATTGGATTCTTGTTTGAACTGAAGCGACTTGAGACATAATATTGTAAAAAGAAAATCATCATCAGTTCTTGCAAGGGATTGCTCAGATTTAATTGAGACCATTTCTGCATTCGTATATTGTTTGGCAAAAAGTCACTACAAATTTTACATTACACATCCAATTTCTTCGGCCAAAATGCGATAATCGAGTTTCTCCTTGAATTTGCAATAAACTGCAAAGGTTCAATTTGCCTCGGGCAATTATGCTACCCTTTCGCAAGAAAACTACCAGACATTCATAAGATCAAGAAAAACTTAACTTCGCATAAAACAGTCCTCCGCTATGAACTCCTTCGTACATCGCAACATCGAAAGGAAACGAGGAAAACCTCGAAAGCAAAAAAAAGATAAAAGGAAGCGTTCGATGCTGCCCGATGAATGGATCAAGGAATAAGACAATCGTAAACAGGAATAAGAAGCTGATGTTCAGAGCATATGTACACAGTCTGAAAGCGCACTGCTGATGCCGCCGAGCCACGCAGAGCACAAGGAATTGATTTATCGTTTTGTACAGTTCGTCGAACTTGGGACGGGTTCTCCGATCCGTGAGGAGGCCCTTGGCCTGCATCCAGTGCATTCTGCATCCCTGTTCGAATGATACACTTTCGAAACACGCCCTATTTTGGAACACAATGTTTCCCCGTGGTGACCCTTTAGATGGGCGCAAGACCGCAAAGGCCGTCAGCCCTCAGCCCTTTCTTCGTCGTGAGGCAGGCAGGCAGGGTTCGTACAGGTAAAGGCAAAGGAAGTGGAATACAATTATGCTGCTTCTGCTGAGAATGCGGTTGCACTCGTTTCGGGATACAACTTGCATGCGATGCTGTTAAAATGCGGGTGAATTTGGTTGTAGTGGTCAATCCAGGTGAAGGATGATGAGGGCAAAGTCGAAATTGACCACTTGGCCCTTTGCTTAAGATCGGTGCGCTTTCCGGTTTCTTTTCATTTCGACGCATAGGGTCTAGTGTGCAATGAAGGGAACTCGAATCCACATGTAGGTACAAGCATTGCTGTCCTGCTCGCTTATGAAGGAAGGGTGTGCGCAATTATGTTGGAAGTTACTCATACATAAAAGATGATTGAGGGAACGGAACCTTCATTTATATCGCTGTTCTATAACCTGTTTTCAATGCATGAATTTGAATGCGAAAACGGTCAAGGATATATGCTCGGATGGATTATCAACTAAATGTTTCACGTAACGGTTTTCTGGATCAATTAAAAATAGAAAAAAGTGCTGCCTCGATTGTGTTAACCCTCAATTTTGTCAGATTTTTTTTTCCCGATTTTGTCAGCCTGAAGATTTTGCTGAACTTTTTGGTTTTTAAGCATGAATTCTCAAGCATTTCGTTCCAAATGACACTTAATTGTTTTGTCGCCACAATAACAGTGGTAACTCAAATAAACCTCAATTATTGCGACACTGCACAGCTGTATCCAGTCCCTCCCGATAAAGGTAACTAGGTAGTAGATAGAGCTGGGATGGCTGCAATACAAGTCATTCAAGAAGAACGTTTCGTGATCGCCAAAATTAACGGAATATTCATATGTAGTTGCTACGCACCCGATGGACGATGGAGCAGTTCCACGAGATGCTGGTTGGACTTACCGAAGAGCTGATCGGACGAAGACCGGTAGTCATCGGAGGAGGCTTCAATGCTTAGGCAGTGCAGTGGGGAAACAGATGTACCAACGCAAGAGGGCACATTCTGCTTGAAGCTCTGGCGAAGCCGGACATAAGACTGTTCCACCAGCACTTTTCGCAGAGATGGTCGGGAATCCATTATCGACGTCACTTTATGCGGACAGCAGTCCGTCGCTGGTGGATAACATAAATTGAAGAGTGTGTGAAGGATATACACATAGTGATCATCAGGAAATCTGATATGGCATCGGCCAACGGAATCCTGTTGCAGTACAGAGGACGAGAACTTGTGACCTGAAGTGGAACTTCCAGCTTACTGCTGTAACGAGGCAACTAGCACCCTCCGCGCTAGTTGTCTCAGAGCCAGATGATGTGTTCAGAGAGCAAGAACAGAAGCAGACAAAGAGGAACAAAGAGGAATGTTCCGAGCACATAAACGGGAGATAATGCAGAGCAAGTCAAACTATCAACTGGAGCTGAGTCGAGACGCTGCTGTCAACGACGCACACCGTGACGACGAAGATCAGATGTCAAGTCATGCCCACTGAAATGTGCTTAGAGAACCTGAAAGTCATCGTGGAAGGACTTTTCTCGAAGCACGATCCAACGACCTGGCCACCTACATCGTACCGAGACGGAGAGGGAGATAACGACGAAGTCACCAAAGAACAACTCGTAGCAATGCCTGCTGGATACACTCGGAAATATCTTGGAGAGGATCATCTTAAACAAGCTGACGAAATGAACGAAGAGTGGGCAAGGATTGTCGGAGAGGCAGTTCGGATATCGAAAAGGAAGAGCAAAAGTGGATGCAATTCTAGAGAGCCGAGAAGGCGTCGAAACAGAAGTAGAGAAGAGATCGATATTATGCTGTGATCACGATCGACGTCAAGAATGCGTTCAACAGCTCCAGCTGGGAGGCCGACGCTACTTCCAGAACCGGGTTCTGATCTACGGGCCAAATATGGGAAAGAGATCGACTAGGATCACGGCGGGAATTCCACAAGGCTCCATCCTTGGTCCAACGCTCTGGAACGTGATTTAAAACGGCGGTCTAACGCTGTAGCTACCGAGTTGAGATCGTTGGCTTTGCAGATGACGTCGTCTTACGGTGACAGACAAGGTGACCGAGGCGGTTGACATGATTGGAAACCTAATGCATGGAGCGAAGCTGCAGATAGCCCACAACAAAATGCGAGGTGGTATTGATCAGTAACTTTAAAGCGTCACAGCGGTCAGAAATTACCATTGTGGAGCACGCAAAAAACGAGAAGTGCGTGTTGAAATGCCTGAGAGTGATGGTCGACGACCGTTTCGTTTCAATAGCCACGTAGAATACGCCTACGAGAAGGCAGCGAAGGCCATCAACGCGGTAGCCAGAATCATACCGAACATCTCGGGACGGCTCCTGGCTAGTGTATTTACGTTGATACTGAAATTGAAGTTCAGCCTTAGTTGCAGCGCTGAAAACCATGCGGAATTTAAGGAAAGCGAACTGTACCTACCGGCTCAATAAACCGAACGCAAACTTTTCGAGACATTTGGTGTACCCTTTGTTATAAGAATAGTAAACATTTATCAGAAATTCCATTAATAGTGGATAAATAATGGTTAAACTTGATTCATTTTGATGGTCAAAATATTGAAAAAGAAAATCTCCCGATTTTGTCAGCTTCCCGTTTTTGTCAGCCTAAAATTTCAGATGGGGCTGACAAAAACGGGAAAGTACTGTATATTCAAACCATTGTTAATTATGATTTTTGTGTTTACTACCGAACTAGACCGCCGCTAATCTAAAATCATTCAAATTAATGGGATTTTCTTCTTCTTATTCTTCGTCATATTCTTCTTCTTTTTGTTATTTCGACAATAGAGTGCCGATCATCGACGTGCGTCGATTGCCAATTGAAATGGCCAAGTGATAATTATCACTTGGCCATGTCAATTGGCAATCAATTAATCACCAACGGCACCGACTGCGCACCTGGAATCTATCGAACTCATCAACACATGGGCCGGAACCAATGGGTTTACTTCCCTTCCGAATTAAAATGTGACCAGCGATTTTTTCACCTCATAAAAATCCCAATGACCTTTTTGTTTTGATGCTACGCTGCGTACCATTTTGCAATGTTCCGTATTACTTTACTCCAAATTACTGAATTGGAATATTTCCGTTGAAGCTCTATGCAGATGTCGATATAGCTTGCTAATGGTAATGTTGATAGGCTGCATAAGAAAATCAAGAGAATGCGTATGCTATATTAGGGCTTCCCTTAGCTCAGTCGGTAAAGGCGCAGCTACAAAGCAAGACCATGCTGTGGAGGCGGCTGGGTTCGATTCCCGGTCCGGTCTAGGAATTTTTCGGGTTGGAAAATTTCTCGACTTTCCTGGGCATAGAAGTATGATTGAACTTGCCACACAATTATACCAATGCAAAAAATGGTACAGGCATCGAAAGCTCTCAATTAATAACTGTGGAAGTGTATCTTAGAACACTAAGTTGAGAGCACGCAATAAGCTAATATGCGATATGCAATAAGCTTGAAATGCGAAGAATAAGAAGAAGAAGAAGAAGAAGAAGAAGAGATGCTATATTTGGAGCTGGATACCCATTGATTTTTATATGTGCCCTTAAGGTAATCCTCTAAAGAAGCCTTAGCATGAAGCTTTCATGAGCACAAATGTCTGCTTCCACAAAACATAAAATTCTGGAATTGCTACTCTCTAATTAAAACTAGGATGCAGCTATCAACTCGCCATGAAACTAAATTTTTCGGAATTAGGCTTTTCAGTTTAACGGTGGATCAAAATGCTTGGATGTTTTATGTTTAAGGTTCCGGTCTATGGGCTTGGCCTTCTTCAGGGGATGTAAAGTTGTACCGTCATTTGATCAGCTTTAAAATCTTAACGATCAACAAAACATTGACGATGATAAACCTGTATAATTTTTTATTGAAGACTGAAAGCTGAAACCAAATTTCAAGTTCTTTAAAGTTCCCCGAAAGTCTAGAATTTTCAGAAGTTTTCGGAGCTTCCCTGAAGAAATTGGAACTTTCGCTGAACATAAATAATGCTCTTAGACCAGAATTTCTCACGGGTTTTTAAG